AGAGTGGAGGTAGACAAAATAGAGTAGAAGCATTTACTCTCTGAGAGCAACAGAGACCATCAACAAAAACAGTAGCTTTTTCTTTTGAAAAGATAACTACATTGACAAACATTTAGCTAAACTTATTAACAAAAAAGGGAAAATAATTATATTATTAACATCTGAAATAAAAGTGAAGACATTACTACCAACCTTACAGAAATAAACAGGATTATAAGAGACTACTATAAACAATTTTATTGCAACAAATTAGGTAATCTAAATAAACAAATTTCAAGAAATGTACAAACTTCTAAAACTGACCCAAGAAGGAACAAACAGTTTGAATGGGAGATTGAACCAACAATCAAAAACCATCCAACAAAAGAAAGCCCTGACGACTTCACCGGTAACATTTAAAGAAGAGATAACATTAATTCTCCTTAAACTCTGCCAGAATATTGAAGAGGAGGAGATGCTTCCTTAACTCACTGTAAGGTCGGCATGATCCTGATACTAAATCAGACAAACACAACCCACAAAAGCTATGGAACAACATTCCTGATGGATATAGATGCAAAAATGCTCAATACAATGTGAACCTATCAAATCCAGTAGAAAATTAAGATGGTTATACATCATGGCCAGGCGCAGCAGCTCACACCTGTAATCCCAACACTTTGGGAGGCAGAGCCAGACCTCAAGATCACTTGAGGTTAGGAGTTCGAGACCATCCTGGACAACATGGTGAAACCCTATCTGTACTAAAAATTAGCCAGGTGTCATGGCAAACACCTGTAATCCCAGGTACTTGGGAGGCTGAGGCAGGAGCAGGAGAATTGCATCCTGAACATGATAAAGGGCAAAGTCACAGGAAATATTATACTCAATGGTGAAAGACTGAAAGCTTTCCCCCTCAGCTCAGGAAGAAGACAAGGATACCTTGTTTCACTGTTTCTCTTTAGCACTGTACTGGAAGTTCTAGCCAGAGCACTTAGGCAAGAAAAGAAAAGAAAAAACGTCCACATTAGGAAGGAACAAGCAAAGCTATTTTATTCAGAGATGACATGATCCAATATATAGAAAATCCCAAAGAATCCAAAAAACACTACTAAACCTAGTAAACAAATTCAATAAGTTTTAGGTTACAAGTTCAGCATGCAATATTCAGTTGTCTTTCTATATACTAACAATGAATAATCTGAAATGAAATAAAAATAGTTCCACTTATAATAGCATCAGAAAGAATGAACTACTTATAAATGTAATTGTGGAAATGTAAAACTTATAAACTAAAAATTATAATTTTTCAAATCCATACCTACCAATACATTAACGTTGAATGTAAATGGGCTAAATGCCCCAATTAAAAGGCACAGAGTGGCAAGCTGGATAAACAAGCAAGACCCACTGTTCACTGTCTTCAAGAGAATCATCTCACATGCAATGACACCCACAGGCTCAAAGAAAAGGGATGGAGAAAAATCTACCAAGCAAATGGAAAACAAACAAACAAAAAGGCAGGGGGTGCTATTCTAATTTCAGACAAAACAGTCTTTAAATCAACAACAATCAAAAAAGACAAAGAAAGGCATTACACAACGGTAAAGGTTCAATTCAACAAGACTTAACTATCCTAAATATATATATATGCACCCAATACAGGAGCACCCACATCGTAAAAACAGGTTCTTAGAGACCTGCAAAGAGACTTAAACAATTACACAATTAACAGTGGGAGACTTCAACACCCCACTGACGGTGTTAGACCATTGAGGCAGAAAACTAACAAAGATATTCCAGAAGTGACTCAACACTTGACCCAAATGGATCTAACTGACATCCACAGAACTCTTCACCCCAAAACAACAGAACATACATTCTTCTCATCTGCACATGGTACATACTCTAAAACTGGCCACATAAGGGACAAGTGCTGTGGCTCATGCCTGTAATTTTAGCACTTTGGGAGGCTGAGGGGGGCAGATAGCCTGAAATCTGAGTTTGAGAGCAGCCTGGCCAACATGGTGAAACCCTGTCTCTACTAAAAATACAAAAATTAGCCCAGCACGGTGGTGGATGCTTGTAATTGCTGTTCTCCAGGAGGCTGAGGCCGGAGAATTGCTTGAACTCAGGAGGTAGAGGTTGCAGTGAGCTGAGATCATGCCATTGCACTCCAGGCTGGGCAACAAGAGTGAGACTCCATCCCCACTCCCACCCCCCCACAAAAAAACTGCCCACATAATCAGCCATAAAACAACTCAGTAAATTAAAAAAAAATGAATTTATACCAACCATTTATTAGCCCATGACACAATAAAAATAGAAATCACTAAGAAAATCACTAAGATCACTCAAAACCATACAATTAAATGGAAATTAAACAACCTGCTTCTGAATGACTTCTGGGTAAACAATAACACTGAGGCAGAAATCAAGAAATTCTTTGAAACCAATGAGAGCAAAGATACAACATACCAGAATCTCTGGGACACACACATTCTTTAGCTCTATCCACTAAACAGATCTGATTGCAGAGACACCGCAGTAGCAATGAATTAAGCTAGTTTCGGAGCTTGGCTTTTAAGCATCATTCTCTAAGAAAAGGAACCAGGCTCTTCGAATAATGGCTAATTCTAGAGCTGGCGCAGGGAAAGTATAAGATGCACCTGGGAGACATATACAAGAAAGCAAGAACATGCTCAACAGACATTTCAAAAGGAGACAAAAGCCAGCTTGAAATGGGTGCCACTTAACAAACTGGGGAAAATTTGAGCACTAAAATAATAATAGTAATGAATTATAACCCATTGAATTAAAAAATGAGTTCATACAGATATAAAGAAACAACTACCATGAAAGAGGCACTAAACCAAGCAGACACCATGACACCCTGCCAGGTGATGCCAGCAAATCTCTGTCATGAGCCACTCCAGTGCTGGCACAGTGTTGGAGGCTATGTACAGAGCAACAGCATGTGCCCCATGTTTGCACACCGAACACTTAAGTTGCTGGCAACAGAGACAAATGCAGAGCCCCCAATATATTAATATCCCTAACAAAACCCAGCCACTTGGTGACAAACTGATTACACTGAACCCCTTCTACTCTGGAAGGAACAGCAACTCATTGTGACTGGAACTAATATGTATCTTACCTGCAAGGTCTCAGACAGCATCAACATATGGGGGCTTAAAAATGATTGATCCCTCAGTGGGATCTCCCATAACATTGCCTCTGTCCAAGGGATACACTTTATAGCAAAGGAGGTGTGGCAATGGTCAGTGGGTTCCATGAAGATGAGGTCTACTGGTTCTATTTCCCTTGAGAGCTGCTGGCTTGATAGAGTGAAGGAGCCACTTTTAGAAGGCATAGCTGTGAAAGCAGCTTGGAGCTACCGGAATGCTGGGGGAGAATGATGATGCCTTGGGAAAATGAGGCATCATCCTCCAGGATAAATCAAAGACCATTATAAAGTGTGTTTTCTGTGGTAGAATACATGGGTCCAGGTACCAAAGAAAGAAAGCAGTGTTCAGTTTAACAGCAGTATCAGTGACTTACTCGGGTAAATTCGTCGTCTTTCTACCTGTAGGTCTAGACCAGTGCTGTCCAATAAAAGTACAATGTGAGTCCCATATATCATTTAAAATTTTCCAGTGGTCACATTGAAAAAGTCAAAAAGCAAAGGGTGAAATGCATTTTAATAATGTTTTTAACTTACCTACATGTACCAGTCACATTTCAAGTGCTCAGTGGCCACATGGGGCTAGTGGCTCCTGTACTGGACAGTGCCAGTCTAGAGACCCTGGTTCCTGGAGGCAGAATGCTTCTACTCAAGGAAATAGTAGGTATTCAATCGCTTTAAGCTCCTTATGCCAAGAAGCCAGCAGGCAAGCAAAGGTGTCACTGTATTGATAGGGTAATTGATCCTAATAGTAAAGATCACGTAACATAACAGGGATAGTGGAGAATCCACCTGCCACTCTTTGTATTCTCTAGCCCAGTGTGTATGATAAGCTGACAAGTGGAGCAGCCACAGCCTGAGAAGTCATGATGACTGGGGGCTCAGATATCTCAGAGATGAGAGTCTAGTAAGACCCCAAGACCAACAGAGGCACTAGCTGAGCACAAAAGAAATCTAGGATGGGGAGCAGGAGAGGAAGAAGAGGAGTATTAGCAACGGTCTTCAGATAAGGTAGAGTAATGTGAGCCAGCCTTTCTCAAATACATTTCCCAGGACAAGAAACCGTCAGATTCCTGGAGGAGCTACTCCAAGGTGAGGTGAAATTTCTATACAAAGCAAATGGACAGTAGTGGGTGGTACTGGGTACTTCCTAGAACCTCCCTTCAGGGCCAAAGCACTCATTTCCCTAGATGTCTGAGTGTTGGCTGCTGATGACCCAGAGATGAGGCCCCTTCTGAGAGTTGCTCCAGCCACAGGAAACTGCCTGGCTATAAACCCTAGGTTATATCCTCCCAGGGGCATTCACATCCCCTGTAGGTCAATGTGGAAGACCTAAAGCCCACATTAAATTTCTTACCTCATTGAGGGACAACTCTGAAGGGCCATCCTATCAACACAGTTTCTTATGGCACCTGCTGAGGCCCGTTGTGATTGCCTCACAGTTGAGTATCTATCTCTGCCCAGTCCTGCCTTCCTCACTCTCTTATAGGTATTATTCCCAAGGCGACAAACCTCCCTTCAAAAATCTCAGCCTCCAGGTAACTTGACAGAGATGAATCCACATTATTGAAAACCCCAGAGTGATAACTAGGTAAGAAAGTAGAAATGAACCACCTTAACCGTCATCACTTCATTCATTAAGAATTACATCTTACTTTCATGATGTCCTTCTATGGCTTTGTAGGAGAAATAAGACATAGTCATTACCCCCTAACCACTTCTCCGTTTACAACAAAGCATGGTTCCTCTTTTGGCTTTTGTTCCTTAAGTTTAGACATTTTCTCTTAGATTTCAAAAAACCAAGTTGCCTCGTCTGTCCCTGATTTTAAACACTTGCCGCTTTTAGGTGCTTTCTCACAGTACATTTTGTAGTCATTGCTGATCTTCTCTATGGCCATCTTTGGATTCTTGTAGCAGAGTTCCTCAAAGGACATTTTAGTTATGTCTGTGAAGTAAGGAGAAACAGAGGTACAGTCTGCGTGTCCAAAGTCTATGTTCAGATTCATATACTTTTGTTGAAGGTATTGCCTTTAAAATGTCATGTAAAGAGGCCAAGGGCCAGGCGCGGTGGCTCACGCCTGTAATCCCAGCACTTTGAGAGGCTGACGTGGGTGGATCACGAGGTCAAGAGATTGAGACCATCCTGGTCAACATGGTGAAACCCCGTCTCTACTAAAAATACAAAAAAATTAGCTGGGCATGGTGGCGTGTGCCTGTGATCCCAGCTACTCAGGAGGCTGAGGCAGGAGAATTGCCTGAACCCAGGAGATGGAGGTTGCGGTGAGCTGAGATCGTGCCATTGCACTCCAGCCTGGGTAACAAGAGCGAAACTCCGTCTGAAAAAAAAAAAAAAGAGGCCAAAAATGTCTTAATGGGATGCTTGCAGAAATAATACAAATTCTCTAAGCTAAATTATAAACAAGGGAATAAGCCTTCTCTCCCTTCCAGAATAAGAAGATCCTCTCCTTCTTAGGGAAAACTGACCCATGGAGATTATTTGCCTGGGGGTAGCCAAGGTATGACTTGAAAGAGCTACTAATTTTTAATTTATGTTTGAAAAGGAACTCATACAAACAAATGGAGACTCCTTCAAAGCATCCATCTGTTGAGGGGTTGAGTAGAAATGTATTTGTTTTTGTTTTTTTGCAGAGATGGGGTTTCACCATGTTGCCCAGGATGGTCTTGAACTCCTAGGTTCTAGTGATACTCCTGCCTTGGCCTCCCAAATGTCGGGATTAAAGACATGACACCACACCTACAAATGTATTTCAAACATTCTACTATTGTCTCAAAAAAAGCTGAAGAACCTAAGAACAAGAAATGGCAAAGAACATGCTATGCTGTTTTCCCTTTCTCAGCTCTGACTTTGGGAGTAACTTCCAGGATTAACTTACGTGTCTGAATATTACCAATAGTTGCAAACCATTGTCCTTTGGAGTAGATTTTTTTTCCCAGAACCAGGCATATATCATCTTACGTTATGCATAATGAATTGAGAGGGAATACCCTTTCGTATCCAGAAGGTGGTGAGACAATGAGGCTGAGATAGCAAGAGTAGTTTTAACAGTGATCTGGATAACAGAAGCAGAATAGTAGTACCTTACTTCCTACTGGGGAGAAATATTCATTTGGATGTTGAGTTCTGGGATTTAGAGTATATCTAAATGCACAGAGTTCTCCTGGAACTCTCTAGGCAGGAAAGTTATTTCTAGACTATTTGAGTCTAGAAAGAGTACTGGGGTGTGGACCCATGAATGTGAGTTATTCTTATGTCATCATCATCATCATGTGTAATCAAGGGGAATTTGACCATAAGTGTTAAGAGCAGTGGATTGTTTCTGCAGTGGATCCAGGTTTCTAGTCCTGTATCAATTCCTCCCTTGCTGAGCAGCCTTTGGCAAGCCTTTTCACCTTTCTGGAAGTCATGTTTTCCTGCATAAAAGATGATAGTGGCCAGGTGTGGTGGCTCACTCCTGTAATCCCAGCACTTTGGGAGGCTGAGGCAGGAGGATCACTTGAGGTCAGGAGTTTGAGGCCAGCCTGGCCAACATGATGAAAACTCATCTTTACTAAAATACAAAAATTAGTCAGGTGTTGTGGCAAGTGCCTGTAATCCCAGCCACTAGGGAGGCTGAGGCAGGAGAATCACTCGAACCCAGGAGGCTGAAGTTGTGGTGAGCAGACCGTCATTGCACACCAGCCTGGGCAACAAGAGAAAGACTCATCTCAAAAAAGAAAGAGAGAGAGTATTCTAACTCTGCTACTCTGAGAGTTTAGGGTACAGCTGGAGACACCAGCCTACCTGGGATTCAGGGCCCTGACCTGACCAAATGCAAAGAAGGCTCTTTTTTAGGCCAGACTTGTGCTCCCCAAAAGCAGAGATAGAGGAAGTAATGATGTGTGCTTTGGAGAGGGACAAGGAACTGCTATAAGGTGTGGTTCACATTCTTTCTAGCTATCCCTGGTACCCCATAGCCACCAAGGTAATGCCCATCTCCCAATATGTGTGTGGTGAAATTTACCAGCCATCTTTTCTTCTACTTCTGTTTTGATTCCTGGGAAAGAATCTAAGATCCTCAGGTTTTAGAGAGGGTGGAATCTCTATGGGTAAAAAAGAGGGCCTATGCATGCTAGATTTAAATAATTCATGCCCAAGCATGGCTCCAAGGGGCAAGTATCCAGGGCATCTTGATTTATATAGAGAGTCCATAATAAAGTTTTAAAAAAGAGCTGGATGTTACATTCTTTTGGCAATCTAACAAGTACCATTTACTTAGCACCTGCTTGTTACTATATTACCTCTAATCCTAAATAAATTAGGGGCCATTATCTCCATTACGTAGATGAAAAAATTAGGTTCAGAGAGATGGAGTAACTTGCCCGAGCTCACAGAACATATGAATGGTACAACTGAATTTTCAAAGCTTTTGCTTACTCTTTACCTGTGTTTTTCAAAGGGTCATGACTCATTAGTATACCAAAAAATAAATGGTGACATTGCCAGCTTTTGCATGACATGAAATAGGATAGAATAAAAAATGTTGGAGTACAACATCTCATGCAATAAGGGCAAGTATTGCTTTGGAAATTTTTGTTTCCATATATACGTGCACATGTATACACAACTATATGTTTAAGGGATTATGAAGACAAACATATTTATTGTGGATCAAAGTTTGAGAAATATGCAGTGTTCCAACTGTCTCCATATAGATAATTAAAGCAGTATGTTCAATATGCATAATAATGACTAACATTTACAGTGCTGAACTCCTGAGATCATTCATAGATTGTCTCGGGTCACCTGTACAAGTTTGTTATCATTCTTGTTTTACAGTTGAGAAAACTGGGCTTAAAGAGAGGTTAAATACATTGCTCACGTATACAAGTCAGTGGGACAGCAAGGGTGTAACCCCAGACTTCTGGGACAGCAAAGCCTTTTGCTCCCAATGACGCCTCTCCTCCGCCTGGGTGGGCTGGTGTGTTACGTTAGGGAAGCGGGTAACTATAATCTATGTTCACAGAAATGCGCTTGGATTCTATTCTGGAGGAAATGTGGTGAGGTGGAACATGCTTATCAGATGTACGAAATGCAGTTATTCAGCATCAGCTGTAGTATTGCTTTGGTGAGCAAGAGTCTAGCTAAAGCTGAGAGATCTGGCTCCCTCAGATCCAGCTAGGAGCTCTACAGTCTGTCTGCATTCAAATCCTGACTGCAACTTACTCTGTGACCCTGGGGAGGTCACATCTCTGTGCCTCAGTGACTTAGTACTTACCTCATAGGTTATTTTGATGATCAAATAAGGTAATCTCTGCATTGCATAGTGCTGACACTTAGTAAATAACCCATAAAGGTTAAATAATGTTTTCCAGTTGCCTATATGCAAAGGTCAAAAAAATGACAGTGACTGCTCTGACCTGTTAGAAACACGGGAGACGCCAGCTCCACCTGGAGAGACCCTCCTCGTTTCAGGTCCTCCGTAGCTATCTTTCGCCACTGCTTAGAGTCCATTTCCTTCATGTCAGCCAAAGCCTGGCTTAACTCCAAAGACTGCTGAATCCTCTTATAAAGAAGAACGCTCTCTTCTTTGCCTATAAATTCTTTTTTATGCCGTCTGGAGCTGATGAACTTGTTCTGTGTCTAAAAGAAGAGGGTGAAGGGAAGACCACATTTGTTACAGGAACTAGACCAGAAGCAATAGTTCTGTAGTATCTCAGTGCTCCATGCCTCCCTGTAACACGGTCTTACGCAGGTTGTTTTCCATTGTTAAGAACCATTGCTCCTTTAGACGCCAACCCCCACCCCCTTCTAATCAAACTCATTTTCTATAAGGGAGAAATTTTCTATGTCAAAATTTTCAAAGTCATCTTATGCACCCAGTCCTTTTCCTTGAGAGGTTTAGCTTTAGAACAACAGGGACCATGCCAATCTTTGGTTGACTCTAGGAAAAAGAACAATTTCATTTACTTTAACACATAAGCTTTTAAAACAGAAAGTACTCTTCCTTTTTCCCTCATCCTCATGATTCCTTCCCAACCCGAAGTCCTTCCTACTGTAAAAATGAGAAACCAGTAGTCCTCTTCATCCAGGGATTTATCATACCAGGGACGGAGCATCTGAAAGCCAAACACAGCATATGCATTAGGAGGTGGATGAGCAGCTTGCCGCATCTCTCCTTCTTATGTTCACCTAGGAGCAGAGTAGGCTGAAGATTCTGGGTTCTGTAATCTGGAGGTCTAATGGAACAGCAAACATTAGCTATGACCAACTAGGTGGCGTTCCTTTATCTCTGAATGGAGCAGCTACCACAGCTTTTCTCTAAGTCTCAGAATACTAAGTATTTATTTAAGAAGAGAGACGATAAATAATTTACAGAACCATTACTTAACATCTGCATATTATTTCATTCTTTTCCAAAGTAATATCTCATTTTTTTTCTCAAAATGGCCCTGAAAACCAAGCATTTCTCTTTGGTGTATCTACTCATGTCTCCCACTTGAAGACCTTATGATTTTGTGAAGAACATTTTATTACATTAAAACAAAAACAAAACCTATGAGTTAGGGCTTAGCTAGATATATTAATCCATACTCTAGTTTCATTCATTCATTCATGTGACAAATGCTTTATGAGTGCCTCCTATGTGTCAGGCACTTTACGAATTGCTGGCAACACTGAGATCAGCAAGCTGCAAGTGTTGTTACAAGGAGCTCAACTTCCAGCATGAACGGCAACATAACACATGCACTCATAGAGGTATTAACAAAGCTTCTGATTCAGTCAGGGAAATCCAGGAAGAATTCATAACGGTAAAGAGGTTTGCTCTAATGTGCACCTTGCAGGGTAAGTAGGAACTCACCATAGGGAAGTTGAGTAAAGATCAGCCCAGCCACTACAAAGAGCTTAAGCAAAGGCATGGAGATGGGAAAGATGTTTGGGAATGATGAGACTCCAGTGTGGGCTGAAATGTAGCATTCATGTGAAGAGCTCAGGAATGGGGAAGTGGCAGGAGAGAAAGCAGGGAAGCGTTGGAATTATATATGAGGGACTTGAATGCCTTGCTGAGTAATCTGGGGATTACTTTGTAGGCAATGAATTGATGGTAATTTTTAAGAATGTAAGATTATCTCTGCCAACTGCCTCAATCATGTAGCCAAAAGGTGAGTTTAGGGATATAAATTTTGGTAGTTTTAACAAATCTCCTTGGCCCCTGGGAAACTTGAGTGAAGTATACTCCTGAGACAATTCAGTTCAATGATTGAATCTGAACAATATGTAACATAATGTTACTTGTTAACAAATAAACTGCAAATATATATTAAATATGAGTAATAAACAAGCATGTGTGAAATGAATATCCTATTAACATCCCTTTTAGTTTAAAAGATTTATGACTCAGGCCAGGTTCTGTGGCTATTCTCCATTTCATGTATTTCTTCTCTAATCTTTATCCTCTTTTTCCTTCTGATAAGTTTCGGTTTACTTCTCTTTTTCTGGTTCTGTAAGGTGTAAACGTAAGTGGTTTATTTGAGATCCTTCTTTTTTTTTTGAGAGAGAGAGAGTTTCGCTCTTGTTACCCAGGCTGGAGTGCAATGGCACGATCTCGGCTCACCGCAACCTCCGCCTCCTGGGTTCAGGCAATTCTCCTGCCTCAGCCTCCTGAGTAGCTGGGATTACAGGCACGCGCCACCACGCCCAGCTGAGTTTTGTATTTTTAGTAGAGACGGGGTTTCACCTTGTTGACCAGGATGGTCCCGATCTCTTGACCTGGTGATCCACCCGCCTCAGCCTCCCAAAGTGCTGGGATTACAGGCTTGAGCCACAGCCCCCGACTTGAGATTTTTCTTTTTAAGATAGGACTGATTGCTATAAGTATCCAACTTAGTACTGCTTTTGCTGCATCCCATGAGTTTTGGTATGTTGTTTTTATTTTCATTTATCTGAAGTATTTTTGACTGCCCTTTTTGATTTTTTTGAGCCGTTAGTTGTTTCAAAATATGTTATTTAATTCTATGTTTTTATAAATGTCCCCATTTTCTATTCTTGATTTCTAGTTTCATTCCATTGTACTTGATTAAAAAGTATTTGTAGTATTATCTCATTTTACTATTTTAGAAACAGGGTCTCATTCTTTCACCCAGGCTGGAGTGAAGTGGTGTGATCACAGGTCACTGTAACCTTGAACTCCTGGACTTAAGTGATCCTCCCACCTGAGCCTCCCAAGCAGCTGGGACTACAAACCTGTGCCACCACATCTGGCTATAGAATGTTTTTAATCTTAAATTGGTTAAGACCTTTTTGTGACCTAGCACATGATCTATTCCGGAGAATATTCATGTCCACCTGAGAAGAGTAATTATTCTGTTGCTGTTGAGTAGAAAGTTCTGTATATGACTGTTAGGTCAGTGATTTATGAGGTTGTTCAGTTCTGCTGTTTCTTTATTCATTTTCTATCTGTGTAATGTACCCATTATGAAGAGTGGGGCGTTGAAGTCTTCTATTAAAGCAACACAATAATAATAGAAGATTAAGTTCTTCCTTCAGATCTGTCAATGTTTGCTTAATGTATTTAGATGATGATGTTGGATGCATACGTACTTATAACTGCTACATCTTCCTATTAAATTGACCCTTTGTCATTATATAATAACCTCCATTGGCTTTTGTGACAGCTTTTGACTTAAATCCTATCTTATCTGATCTAGTATAGCCACATATGCTTTTTTTGGGTTATCACTGCCATCAAATATCTTTCTTCAACCTTTCACTTTCAGCCTATCTGTGTTCTTAAATCTATCATGAGTCTCTTGTATTGTTGGGTCTTGTGTTTCTATACATTTATCTACTCAATGGCTTTTCACTGGGGAGTTAAAACGATTCACACTTAAAGTAATTATTGTTAGGTAGACTTACTGTTGCCATTTTGTAAATTGTTTTCTGTCTGTTTTGTAGTTATCTTCTTCCCTCTCTTTCTCTATTGCTGTCCTTCCTTTGTAATTTATTTATTTATTTATTTTGGTAGTGATATGCTTTATTTTCTTTTTATCTTTTAGGTATCTACTGTACATTTTTTTGTGGTTACCATGAACCTCGCATTAAACATTTTATACTCATAAATCTGTTTTAAGCTGATAACAACTTCAATTGCATACAAAGTTCTACACTTTTCACCCTGCTTGCTACAGTTTACATAATTGATGTCTTGATGTCAGCTTTTGCTTTTTTATATATTTTGTTTTTATTAACTAATTTCTGTGATTATAATTATTCTTACAACTTTGTCTTAATACTAGTGTTAAAAGCGATTTATATACCTTCATCATATTACAATACTATGTGTTTGTCATTATATCTACCTTTAGCAGTGATATTTATACTTTCTTATGCTTTTTTGTTGTTATTTAGCACCTTTTAATTTCACCTCATTTTTGAAGTTCCTGTAGTACTTCTTGTAAGGCAGTATTGCTTTGTAGTGGTGACAAACTGAGATTTTGTTTGGGAAAGTTTTTTATTTTTATTTTTATTTTTTACTTCTTCACTCTCAAAGGATACTTTATCTGGGTAAAGAATTCTTAATTGGCAGTTTTCCTTTTCTTTCTTTCAGCATCTTGAATATATCATCCCACTGTCTTCCAGACTATAAGGTTTCTGCTGAGGAATCGTCTGGTAGTCTTTTCAAGTCTCCCTTGTGTATTAGAAGTCACTTTTCCCTTGTATCTTTCAAAATTCTTTGTCTTTGACTTTTAAAAATTTATTTCTAATCTGTCTGAGTCTGAAACTCTTTAGGTTCAGCCTATTTGGAGATCTTTGAGTTTCAGAAATCTAGATGTCCTGTTCCCTCATATTTGTGAAGTTTCTAGCCATTATTTCTTTAAATTTCTTTCTATCCCTTTCTCTCTCTCTTCTCCTTCTGAGATGTCTATGTGTATATTGGTTCACTTGATGGTGTCCCATAAGTCCTATAGGCTTTCTTTGGTGTTTTTAAACCTTTTTATTTCTCAAATGACCTGTCTTTGAGTTCATTTATTTCTTCTGCTTAAAACATAAATCTGTTTTAAGCTGATAACAACTTCAGTTGCTTTTAGCCTTTGAAGCCTAATCAAGTCTGCTGTTGAAGCTCTTTGTCAAATGTTTTCAGTTTGGTCATTATATTTGTCAGCTTAAGGATTTCTGTTAGGCTCTTTTATGTTTTTTATTTTTTATTAAACTTCTAATTTGATTGATGCATTTTTTTCTGATTTTGTTCAGTTGTTTGCCTGTGTTTTCATATCACTTATTGAGCTTCTCTAAGATGATTATTTTGGCTGGGCATGGTGGCTCACTCCTGTAATACCAGCACTTTGGGAAGCCAAGGTGGGAGAATATAGCATAAGGCCAGGAGTTTGAGGCTGCAGTGAGCTATGGTCCTGCCACTGCATTCCAGCCTGGGTGACAGAGTGAGACCCTGTCTCTTAAAAAAGAGGATTATTTTGTTGAAAAGTTTGGAAATCCTTTATAAAAAGAAAAAGGAAAAACATTTTTAAAAAACATGTTATTTTGAATTATTTCGTCAAGCAGTTTATGAATCTCCATTTCTTCAGGGTCAGATAGTGAAATGTTATTAATTTCCTTTGCTGATATTACATGTACCTGATTTTTCATGACCCTTGTATCCTTGCATTGCTGTGTGTACACTTGAAGGAACAGTCACCTCTTCCAGTCTTCACAGGATGGTTTTGGCACACACATAAATGCCTTTGCCAATTAGCCAGTCAGAGATTCTGGGCTGGTTAGCTGGTGATGTTTATAAGCAAACCTATTGTTGGGTTCCATGAGTAAGATCATTGTGTCTATGGGTGGGCAGAGCTGGAGCTGTACCTGTAGGCAGATGGAGCTAGAGCCTGGTTCAAAGGCTGTGGAGCTGCCTCAAGGTCTGCAGGTGGTTTGGGTTATAGCTGAGTCCACAGGCAGTCAGGGATAAAGCTGGGGCTGCTAGCAGTGTGAAAACCCCATTGAATGTGGCTGTCTCTAGGTCTGTGGGTGGACAGGGCTGCCTCAGAGTCTATCATCAGGTCTGGGGTCAGCAGGCCTGTTATCAGGGTGTGGTTCCTGCTGGATCTCTGAGCAGGCATTTCCTCTGTGACTGCAGTTGAGCAATGTGGAGCTGGGTCACAGGGCTGTTTCCATGTCAAATGAGACCCAAAGGCATTAGGCCTGTTAACAAGGTTTTAGGCAGGCATAGTTTCTACTAGGACCATAGAAGGGTAGGTCTGGTGGCAAAATTATGGACAGATGATTCTGAAGCTGAGTCCACAGGAGATGAGGCTGATGATCCTGATTGACAAGCCTGCTACTGGAGGCATGAGACTGCCTTTTCAAAGCAGCTTTCCTTGATCTTGAACTCCGCTGGGGTGGTGCAGCCTCCAACTTGGGTCTCAAAGCTCATCAAAAGGCACTTTTGTCTGTGTATAGTTGGCAAGTCCATGTTTCTATGGGTGAACAAAAGCTGGGGACCTCCTATTTCACCATATTGCTGATGTTACTCTGAGTATGGATGTATTTGGTGATATGTGCTAAGGAGAAAAATAAAACGGGAGTGTGCTTGAAATTTTACATCAAATGACCAAGGAAGTCCTCACTGAAAAAGTGACTCTTTAATGGAGACCTGAGGGAGTGAGAGACTAAGCCATGCAGATATCCGTATGTTACACAGAACAGCCAAGCTGGCAGTGTGCCGGCATAGTGGGTGATGAGCATGGGGTGGGGGTGGAATAGTAGATGAAGCCAGAGAGGAGAGGTGGAGTGCATACATGTAGGGCCTTGCTAGATTTATTAGGAACTTTGGATTTTACTGAAAGAAAAATTGCTTCATTGAGACAGCCATCTGTTTTCATGGTCCTCACTCATTTCCTGTTAAATTACACTATGTTTTGAGAGAATCACTGTGGTTGGTATGGAAATGAGTTGATGAGGGACAGGGTAGACACAGAGGCATCAGTTAGAAGACCATTGTAATATTACAGGTAAGAGGACAGGAGGTGGGTGGTAGTGGTGGTAACAAGGGTGGAAAGGAGTGGTCACTCTGGATTTCTTAAGGTAGTGCCAACAGGGTTTGCCAACAGACTAGACATGGGTGTAAGACAAAGAGGGGAGTCAAGAATGATATAAAAATGTTTAGTCTGACTAACTGTTATAGGCCAGTCTTCCCTATGTACAAATATCTTCAGTATCTTTCCACCAGGTAAAAGTATTTGCTGTGAGATTCTGATCCAAGAAGCACAATCTCTGTCTGAATCTCTGTCCTAAAATGCTTCCACAGAGACCTCTGGGCTTTAACTAATCAAAACTTGAGCAAAGGAGCACTTTGGCTGTGGATCCACTAGACAGATCTGTTCTGACACTACCTCACTTACAACTCTGGATAATTATGAGATACTGGAAATCATGCTAGACTTAGAGCCAAAAACTCCGGGATTCTGATCCTGGATTATCTACTAGCTAGCTACATGGCTTTAGGATAATTCACTTACTCTCTGTGTGACTCACTTCCCCTATCTGTACTAGAGAAGCAACAATGCTACTCCGTCTGCCTCCTGCGAGTGCTAAGAAGCATGAAGGAGACAATGTGTGTGAATGTGCTTTATAAGGTAAATATGTTATAATCTGATGCTTTTATCCATTTGCTCCTCCAGATCTACTCTCTACTCTTCTCCAACCTGTTTGTGCCTTGGAAGATTAACCTGTATGAGCCACATCAATCAGTTCCCTTGTCCTCTGTTTGGGTTCATCAGATGAGGTGTCCTCACAGGAGATGGGAAAGCAGGAGCAGAGTAACCTTGGGGTATCTATTTTTCCAATGCCTCCAAGCTAGATCACTGTGAATTAGTTACATCCCTCAACTGATGGTTACAGCTTCTGCCAAGTAAGTGTCCCACTCCATATGGCTCTTTCTCTCCTGGTTCTAGTAATTTCTTCCTGTCCCCAGTTCTTCATACCTAGGAATGATAAAGGAGCCCTGCCCTTACTGACCTTGTGCTGTTACACTATCCCTGTGGTTTCCCTACTGCACCACCCATTCCTTTGTGAGTAGTCCCTCTTATTTTTCTCTCATCTGTTACCTAACTTGACTTTGCCATTTGCCTTCTGCTAAGAACTTGATGATACAATAGCTACGTGATGGGCTTCCCTTCCTGTGAGTCTTCAGAATATTCCATTGCTTTTAGCCAATGTTTTGAGATGAAAATAAATTCATCCTAACTGAACATTGCCTTGATGGCTGGTCTAGTAAAGGGAGCTTGCTTTTCAATACGTAATGTTCATAACAGAAATTAAAAACTTTCCTCATGGAACACTCTGAAGTTCATGGTTTGCAGAGGCTTCATATAAAAGGAAGATGAAGAAGGAATGGATATCAACACTCCCCACCTCTATTCTACTTTAGAGTTTTTGGCTGATTTGGGGGAAGTTGCAAAATTTGTGCCTTAAGACAGCGGTCCCCAACCTTTCGGCACCAGGGACCAGTTTTGGGAAGACAACTTTTCCATGAACTGGGGGCTGGGGAGATGATTTCGGGATGCAACTGTTCCACCTCACATAATCAGGCATTAGATTCTCACAAGAAGCATGCAACCCAGAGCCCTTACACGCACAGTTCACAATACTGTTTGCACTCAAATGCTACCACTGATCTGACAGAAGATGGAGCTCAGGCAGTAATGCTTGCTCACCCTCTGTTCACCTTCTGCTGTGCGGCCCAGTTCCTAACAGGCTGGGGGCTGTACAGATCTGTGGCCCAGGGCCTGGGGACCCCTGCCTTAAGAGATCAACCAACTCTTCAATATCTGAGGGTTTATGTGGGTAATTATAGAATTAACTTAGTATAGATGACCAGATGGGATTTTTAGTTCAGTTTTGACCTAACTTGCCAGATACTAACTCATTTCTGTGAGGCAAGGCCTACCTTGCAAATCTCCTTCTGGGCTTTAGAAATCCAGGGGATCACATCTCCAGAAGGCAAGAGTTCCTTCAGGCCCTGAATGGTTTGGGATTTGAGTGGTAAGCATGGACCAATCTGCTCATTCAGGTGGAGCTCGCAGATTCTGTCACCCAGCAAGTGACGAAAGACTGTATTCCCATTCTTCTTCTTATTCACAAGGACACTGAGGAAATGGTGCAGGTCCTGCCAGAGGTCAAGAAGTTGGGTCTCCACTTTCAAATTCAGCTTTTTCAGGTAGTCCCGGAAAGGGTTCCCTGCACAGGCATCAGCACACAAGGCCAAGTGGGTGTATCCTAAGGAGAAGCCTTGCTTGATGGCCTTCTGAATTGTCATCTTGAAGGAGGGGTTGACCATGGGGGTGACAGTCCTCAGGTGGGTAGAGACCTTTGTCTCAAAGAGACCCTCCATGTGAAGGTGGCTGTTGGCTTTATCCTTTACACTGGATGTTTTTGCACAATGCGTTTCCTTTTCCAGGGAACTGATTCTTGTTCCCTTTGAAGAAGACGTTTTCAGGGAAGGCATTTGTATAATCACCTTCTCTTCAGAACATGTGTCCCGTAGGGGCATACTGATAGTATCTGGCTTGATGTCCATTTCCAGAGACCAAGAGTCAGGATCTACCAATTGCCACATCTTCCTCTTGGCTTTCCTGCATGAGTACTGCTTCTGAAAGTGGTGGCACTTCTTGATGCTCATGTTCAGAGGAAGTCCTCCTACGTGGGTGTAGCAAACGCTGTATAATTGAGTCTCATACTCCTGCATCAGACCATGGCATGCTTCCTCCTTGGCCATGGTCATCTTGCTGTGGGTGTAAAAGTTGGGAAGCCAGTAGCTCTGCAGTTTGAACAGAGCCACTGTCTGCATGTGCCTCAGGATCTCCCTCCTGGTAGTTGACTTGTTGGGATGCCAGATGGAGAGGTTCAGGAGGGATTCTGGAAATAATACAGAAAAATAATGTGATGACGGCAGTGAAGATGATGATGGAGAGGGTTTTGAATGTCTTTGTGTATAGCATTAAGTTCCTCACACAATCCTGGAGCGTGAATAGTTAAAATATATAGTCGACACGTTTTCATGGTTTTCTCAGCACACAGTGATCCCTTTATCTTCTTTCCCAAGCCATGTTATGGGATTACTTTTTAGACTATTAAATGTTATTTTAAAGAAAAGCAAAAGCACAAGAAAAATGTTTAAGAATAAGAGACATCTACATTGAACAGGATTTTTGATGAACAATTTAGGACTGGATAAGTAGCACTAGCCCTGATTTTAATGCCATCAATTCTCAATCATCTGTGGGAATAGAGAGGAGTGTGACGAATCCAAACAGTGCATCTTTTGGAACACATTCGTATTTGAGTTAGGAATGCCTCCTCATTTAATCAACAAACAAATATAAATAAATCTTGCATTCTAGAGAAGGAGTTGGCAAACTTTTTATGTAAAGGGCCAGATGGTCAATATTTTGGCTTTGTAAACCACATAACATTTCCTTCTTTTTTATAAAGCCCCACCCTAAACTAGGGTTTAGGCCTGGATGAAAAACAATCTTAGCTCACAGGCCACATATACTGCATTTGGCCAGTGGGCTGCAGTTTCTTCTAGAGAATCCCAATTAAAAAAATAAAATCACAAAAGTATGTAGGCTCAAATGTTACAGGTGCTTTTCAAGTATCCTGCCCCAATTCCTCCTCCCTCCCTTCCAGCCAGCCTTCATTGGTGGGTTTGAAAGAGGCAAGTACCAGCTTAAGGACAATGGTGTCTTTCAATACTTTCCTGTTTAAGGGTTGCAGGTGCCACTAGCATCTCTGATACATAAAAGATGGAGAGAAGGTAGGGTTTCCTGCAAAGAAGGAGACTAAGAATTCTCAGACACTGAATTTCTTTTTTGTTGTTGCATTCCCCAAGAATATACTTTATAATTCTTACTGATGTTCATGTTGCAGAGGGTTACTACCCTGGAGCCCTCCTGCAGATGAGTGGCCCTCAGCATGAGAAGAAGGGACAGGTAGTGGTCTCTCACTTCCAGGTCCATCTCATCTATGCTCAGGATCTTCTCAGCAAGAATCCAGAAATCCACCAGTTCTTCACCTACAGATGAGATAGAAGAGGCACAGAGCTGTACCCTGGTTTTGCCTCTTTGGTGGTTGCATCTGGGTGAATCAGCTGACATCCCCCACCAGCCTGTTCCACTGCAGCAATCATCATTCCTGGTAATTGGTTCAAGGTATCATCTCTAGAAAAGTTCTACTGTGGGAGGCATGGGGAGAAGAGACTTAATGCATGGGAATCCGTTGGGTTTTTGTTGCTGGCGTTAGAAGAACCATTACTAGGGAAAACTGAAAGACTCGGGTGGATTATGAAATATTTAAATTTTGTCCAAAAAAATGAAATTGGGAGAAAAAAAATTTTCTAGATCATGGACTGAGAGTGGCCTGCAGAAGGACACTGGAGGCAAAAGATGCCAAGACTACATTCCCTTTATTGAACACTTTTCCAGGGCCAAATTCTGAGTGACAAAGTGAAAGATGTAATCCATTTAGTTCTTCCCTACCTGCTCCCTGGACATCCAGGATTTTACCCTTAAAACTAGGGTTTAGGCCCCTGGATGAAACTTAATGTTGAGCTGGAGTGTCAGCCAGGACCAGATGCCAGCCTCCCAGCACCCAGCACCCAGCAATTAGCCAGACCCAACGGAACAGGAGGCAGTGTTTCCAACACTCCTACTATGGGGATTTGTTTACTTGTTCCTTGTCTGTCTCCCCGCCAAAGTGGCAGCTTTGTGAAGAAGGGACTTATGGCTCTTGTTCACCTTTGTAACCCAACCTACCAGCACAGTGGCTGCCACATAGCGGTGCTTAATGATACTGCTAAATGAATGAATGAATAAATGAGTAAAAGGGATTCTGATTGCTTTTCCTTTAACCTATACTATAGACCTCAGTCTCCAAAGATTATTATCCAAACCACATTATTGAACGTTTTTATATTGAACAGTTATATTCACATATAACTGTTAACTGGGGCTTAGGGCAACCTGAAAACTATTAGGAACTTGAAAACGCCCCAGGAACAACCCCAAGAACCCACCTGCGCTGCCTGTGAGGTAGGAACAGAAGCGCCACATCCCTCTGACCCCGCCAATGCATTTCTGGAGTAGCCACTGGTCTGCCTTTTTCCATCTCATCATCTTGGCTGCCAGGAAAAGTTCACCATAAGAGAGAGAATGAACTTTGACCCTGGCCCCTCTCCCAGCCAGACCCGCATTTGTTTAGTGTGGTGAGGACAAATTGTGACCACTTAGATGAAGAGGGTCCAGATCATGTGGTGCTTCTGAAGCTAGGCACCAGACCGTTTGGTAACATGTGTTAACATGGCAGGGACACACAAGCATCATGCAATTCACAGCTCAAAAACACCCTCCAACCAGCACCACCACCAATTACATTTTAAGAGGCTCACTCTGGCTTCTATGAGCAAGAGAGCAAGAGCAAAAGCAAAGAGACTAATTAAGAGATGATTTTATTAACTAGGTGAGACATTATGGTGGCTTAAACCACATGACAGTAATGAAGGTGGTGAAATCTGTTTGATTCCAGATTAGGCAATTTTACTATGTTCTCCGGCCACCATTAAGTTTCTCATTTCTGGCTACAGTGAGATAAATGGCCCAGTCCATCTGATTCCCGCATATTTCTCTAGATACCAATTTTTCAGGCTAAGGTTTTACCTACTGCCATACCATGAGCTGGGCTATGCACATATCTATAAATTCAGCCAATATTTGTATCTTGCTATGGGACTGACAGGCATAAGATTATTATGAAGTGTGACTTCCTATATTTCTCCACACGTACACAAACAGACATGCATACCAATGCTTACCTCCTTCTGGGGACTTAATGAAACTGAGGAGCTCCTGACAAAGAATGTAATGGAAACACAAGTTTGTTTTACAGAAGAAAGGTAATCGGTATTTTTCCAACCAGGTCAATAATCCTTTGTATTTGGCAATCTAGATTCAAAGCAAAATAGAAACAAAAAAACTAAATGAAACTGAACTGCTAAGAAATACAACTTAGTAAGGGGCAGCTGATCGCCTCACACTTGCAATGTCTAGCCAAAGAAGAGGTGTGTTGATTAAAAATAATTTCTATAAACCTGGAAGCTGGACTTAAAAAAAGAAGCATCAAAGAGGAGGAGACTTGCAAAGAAGCAAATGGATCATTAGAAAATGACATCGTGATCTTTCATGAAAAAAAATTCTTTCTTATTCCTGAAGTTGTTATAGAAAAAAATCTAAGTCTTGCTTGACAGAAGAAAAGCCAAAAATATTTGTGTCTGTGGTGTCAGATCGTAACTCTATTCAACTTGCTTCTTTGTAAACACATTCATAATTTCTGACAAGCTCCTACCCCCTATCAATTGTACAACATGTACAAAAACAGATTCACACATAGCAGCATTCAGGATACAGGATGGATTCCTGAGGGATCATGCCACAGAGAAAGAGTTTTTTTCAGCTTTCAGGGTTATCCTTGGGAAATTAAATATAAGAGTCAGCATAGAAGGCCAGAATAGAAGGCCTGCCACCACTCATGCCTGTAATCCCAGCAATTTGGGAGGCCAAGGCCGGTAGATTACCTAAGGTCAGTAGTTCGAGACCAGGCTGACCAACATAGAGAAACCCCATCCCTACTAAAAATACAAAATGTTAGCTGGGTGTGGCGGTGCATGCCTGTAATCCCTGGATTATGCCTGTATTACTTGGGAGGCTGAGGCAGGAGAATCACTTGAACCTGGGAGCCGGAGGTTGCGGTGAGCCAAGATTGTGCCATTGCACTCCAACCTGGGCAACAAAAGCGAAACTCCATCTCAAAAAAAAAAAAAAAAAAGTCAAAATAGAATGTCTCTTCTCAGCTATCCAGAGCTCAGAGAGAACAAAACCTTGTTGTTATCAGGTTTAGAGCGGTCTTTCTGATCCTATATGCCCCCTTGTAGGGCACGTGGAAGCCATTGGTAAGTCTAAGGTCTACATAGTAGAAAAGGAGAACAGGAGTGGGGAAAGGGAAAAATAAGACAGGAAAAAAGGCATAAAGAGAAGAAATTGAGAGAAAAATATGCCTTTGGAGAAGAATAGTTGAGTAGTCATTAGAAATTGCAGAAAAGCATCTTATCTTGATCTGTGTCTGATAACACATATGGATAATAATTACGTGGCCCATGGGCTGCCCCTTCCCACCCCACACCCACTACAGACGTTGCCAGCCAATTCCCAGAGTCTTTCTTGCTTAGATGTGCCCTGTTCTCAGCACAGTGTCCCAGGTGTCTAACCTATCACAGGGGTGAGAATCCCATTTGCTAACTATGGACTGTGGAAAGAATTCACCAGCAATTGCTTGCACAAGAGGTGAAAAATGTAAAAAGGAGAAATGTCTACTTGGTTTGATGCTGTTTGTTCTACTCCTCTCTTTATAGTTTCTCCTATAGTTATTCTGTGTGCCTCATCTTTTTCTCCCTCTCCCAATTCACATTTTGAATAGTTCCCTTATGCCTGGCACCATGGGTCTTGCCTGTAATTCCAGCAATTTGAGAGGCTGAGGTGGGTGAATTACTTGAGCTCAGTAGCTTGAGATCAGCCTGGGCAACACGGTGAAACTCCATCTCTACCAAAAATACAAAAATTCGCTGGGTATGGTGGCAGGTGCCTGTGTGGTCCCAGCTACTTGGGAGGCTAAGGTGGAAGGATTGCTTGAGCCAGGGAAGCAAAGGTTGCAGTGAGCCAAGATCACACCATTACACTGCAGCCTAGGTGACAGTGAGACCCCAAGTCAAAAACAAACACAAATTAACAACAAAAATATAGCTTCCTCATCCTCCCCACCCTAAACCCTCTACCTCTGAAGAATTTTACTCACCAAGTTACAAGGTATTTCTGGCCACAAGCTCCACTGTGAATTTTCAACAGTATAAAATGGCATCTGACCAAAAACCTGCAAAAGAAAGCTAGGAAACGTCAAGAGAGTAGAGATTGTCTTCATGCATATGACACAGCCCATCTGCAGCCACAGGGGAAGAGAGGTTCCACTGCTCTTTTATTTCAAGGAACATTAATTTTTAAATTTATTCTGCTGTATCAACTTGCTCCGCACACACGCGCAAAAGCCCTAAAGAGATTGAACTGCAAGATTCATTTATCTTTTGACTCCACCAGCCCACCATGTCAGTCTGACCATCTCCCCAAGACGAACAGCCCCACACTGTTGTTAGTCTATGGCCCTCTTCCCTTGATCCCATCTGTCCCTTGCCCTCGGCTGTGAGGTGTTGAAGGAAGGTGATGGTGCTGTCTGCATCTTACGATTAGAAGTTTGTAAAGGAGACTCAGTCCTTAGGGGTCTCTCTCTGCTCTGCACTCAGTGTGTGAGTAACACAACATGCCCTGACTGGTGTGGTAAGCTGCCTTTAAGGAGTGGTGATAGGACTGTGAAGGTGTGCGATTATGTGGGAGTGGTGTTCGGAAGCAGTTCCACTACCCGACATTTGCACCATAGAGGGCAGAGGTTAATGTGGAAAACACATCAGGCCTGGGGCCAGCAGACCTGGTCAGCTCCTAGAACTGCCCCAGATTCACTGTGTAATCTGAGGCAAATCTTTTAACTTTTTTTATTTTTTGAGAAGGAGTCTCGCTCTGTCATCCAGGCTGGAGTACAGCGGTGCCATCTCACCTCACTGCAACCTTCACCTCCTAGGTTGAAGCAATTCTCCTACCTCAGCCACCTGAGGCGCTGGGATTACAGGTGCATGCTGCCATGCCTGGCTAATTGTTTGTATTTTTAGTAGAAATGGGTTTCACCATGTTCCCCAGGCTGGTCTCAAACTCCTGAGCTCAGGCAATCCACCCACCTCAGCCTCCCAAAGTGCTAGAATTACTGATGTGAGCCACCACTCCCAGCCTTTTTTTTTTTTTTTTTTTGAGATGGAGTCTCACTCTGTCACCTGGGCTGGAACGTAGGAACACAATCTAAGCTGACTGCAACCTCCGCCTCTCAGGTTCAAGCAATCCTCCTGCCTCAGCCTCCCCAGTAGCTGGGATTACAGGTGTGCGCCACTGCACCTGGATAATTTTTATATTTTTAGCAGTGACAAGATTCACCATGTTGGCCAGGTTGGGCTCGAATTCTTGACCTCAAGTGATTGGCCTGCCTCTACCTCCCAAAGTGCTGGGATTACAGCAAATCATTTAACTTTTGAGATCCATTGGTAAAAAGGGAACACTTCCTACGTCACATGGTGACTATGGGAATTGAGTGGTAGAAGTTTGTAAACTTAAGGAGTATTCAACATGAGCCACTACTGCCGTCTCTCTTTATAGACCACAGCTGCCTAAGTGGTCAGAATGTTCTTATAATCTTGGCTGGAACACCCCTCCCCACATCACTCTGTTTCTAGGACCTTACTGTGAGCTGTTTTAATTACGCTGGCGAATTGACTGATTAATGTGTTTTAAGATTACTTTTCGGCCAGGTGTGGTGGCTCATGCCTGTAATCCCAGTCCTTTGGAAGGCCGAGGTGGGTGGATCACCTGAGGTTAGGAGTTTGAGACCAGCCTGGCCAACACGGTGAAACCCTGTCTCTACTAAAAACACAAAAATTAGCAGGCGCTGTGGTGCACACCTGTAGCCCCAGCTACTTGGGAGGTTGAGGCAGGAGAATTGCTTGAACCTGGGAGATGGAGATTGCAGGGAGCCGAGATTCCATCACTGCACTCCATCCTGGGCAACAAGAGTGAAACGCTGTCTCAAAAAAGAAAAAAAAGATTACTTCTGAAACTTTCATATTAAGACAGTGGCAGAGACAATAGTAAGAGTGATAAACACACAAAAACCACTCTCGGAGAGGCCTCTTCCTTATCCCGGTTTTAATTCCATTTCCTGGCACCACCATCCATCCATGCACCCAAGCCTGTTACCCTTGCTTCCTTCCTTCCTGTTGCTCCTCGCCCAACATTTATAGTGACATGGTCCTATATTTTGTTTTGTTAACAATCTCCTCTCTGTATCCCATCCTCCTCTTCCCTTTCCCCTTTGGCCCTCATTACTTCCCACTAGATGACTGAAACAGCCTCGTAACTGCTTTCCCTTCCTCCATTAAGGTCTCCTGCCCACCCATTGGCCAAACCTCTGCAAGATAGTTTTCCCAAATGAAAGCCTGAAGATGCTATTCCTTTACTTCAAATCCTTCCATGGCTCTCTCGTGCCTTAAGGTAATGTCCAAACTCCTGGGCATGGTTTGCCTGATCTCCAGCGCTTGGCGCGGCTGCCTGGGCAGCTTATCTCTTGTGGCGTCTCACCCTCACAACCTTCCTGAGTTACTTACAATTTCCCCCAAAGCGTCAAAGGATTGCATTCTTTGGTGCCTTTACTTTCTCTATTCTGTGTAAGGCTTTTTCTTTTCTTTTTTTTTTTGGGGGGGGGGAAAGGCAGGAAGGGAGGGAAGAAGGACGGTAGGGAGGAAGGAAGGGATGAAGGAAGGAAGGAAGGGAGGAAGCGGCGAGGGAGGGAGGGAGGGAAGGGAAGGAAGGAAATCAAGCAATGAGAGAAACATTGCCGACCTGGATGTAGAAGTTTACAAGTTGATTTCTTTTTATTTGAGAGAAGGAAAGAAAAAAAAATAAGTAAAGGAGAGGAAGAAAGAGGAAGAAAAAGAGGGAGAGTAAATGGAAATATTGCTTTATTTTGAAAAAAATTGGGTATTAATGATGGCCAATCAATGTTTCATTTAAACTTATGGGTAGGTGTGATGTGGTATTGACAAGAATGTATATTTTGTGTATTTGAAGTGGAGAGCTCTATAAATATTTATTAAGTTTACTTGTTCTGGATCTGAGTTCGAGTCCTTGATATCCTTATTAATTTTCTGTCTCATTGAATCTAAGTCTCATATCTGGGTGTTAGGATCGTTAGCTCTTATTGTTGCATTGATCCTTTTATCACTATATCTTTGTTGCTTTAAAATCTATTTTATCCGATACGAGAATTGCAACTCCTGCTTTTTATTTATTTATTATTTATTTTTGCTCTCCATTTGGTTGGTAAATCTTTCTCCATCCCTTTGTTTTGAGTCTTTGTGTATCCTTGCATGTGAAACAGGTCTGGATGTAACATGCCATTGGGTTTTGGCTGTGTCTTTTGATTGGGGGATTTAGTCAATTTAAGTTTAGGGTTACTGCCATTTGATGTTGACTGGCTGTTTTATCCATTGGTTGGTGTAAATTCTTCTTTATATTGGTGCTCTTTACTTTTTGGTATATTTTTAGAAAGGCTAATACTGGTTGTTTCTTTTGTGTGTAATGCTTCTTTCAGAAGCTCTTGTAAAGCAGGCCTGGTGGTAATAAAATCTCTGAGTTCTTGCTTGTTCATAAAATATTTTATTTTTCCTTCAGTTGTGAAGCTTAGTTTGGCTGGATATGAAATTCTGGGCTGAGGGTTCTGTTCTTTGAGGATGTTGAATATTGGCCCCCACTCTCTTCTGGCTTGTAGAGTTTCTGCTGAGAGATCTGCTGTAAGTCTGATAGGCTTGCCTTTGTGGGTAATCTGACCTTTCTCTCTGGCTGCCCTTAGTATCCTCTCCTTCGTTTCAACCCTGGTGAATCTAACGATTATGTGCCTTGGGGTTGCTCTTCTTGAGGAATATCTTTGTGGTGTTCTCTGTATTACCTGGGGTTGAATGTTGACCTGCTTTGCTAGTTTAGGAAAATTTTCCTGAATAATATCCTGAAGGGTATTTTCCAGCTTGGATTCATTCTCTCCGTTGCATTCAGGTACACCTATCAAACGTAAATTTGGTCTTTTCACATAGTCCCACATTTCTTGGAGACTTTGCTCATTCCTTTTTATCCTTTTTTCTCTAATATTTTCTTCACGTTTTATTTCATTAAGTTGGACTTTGACCTCTGATATCCCTTCTTCTGCTTGAACAATTCGAGTGTTTAAACCTGTGCATACTTCTCAGAGTTCCTGTATTGTATTCTTCAGTTCCATTAATTCACTCATACTCCTCTCTAAGTTGTCTATTCTCAATAGGATTTCATCAAACCTTTTTTCAAAGTTCCTAGTTTCTTTACGTTGGGCTACAACATGTTCTTTTAACTCACTGAAGTTTGTTATTATCCATTCCCTGAAGAGTGATTCTGTTATTGGGATGCGCTCGTTCTCCATCAAGCCTTGTTCCATTGTTGATGTGGAACTGTGATCATCTTTAGAGGGAGAGGTGTTCTGACTTTGAGTGTTCTCAGCCTTTTTACGCTGGTTTCTTCCCGTCATTGTAAATTTATCCTCCTGTCGTCTTTGAAATTACCAACTTTCAGATTAGGTCTCTTGAGTGGACGTCCAGGTTGTTAGTTCCCAGGGCCAGAGCAGCGGCGTTAAAACTAATGGTGCTTTTCTGCCCAGGATTCTCCTGTCGGGCTTCCTTCTTGTGTTTGTAGTAGGCAACTCTACCTTCCCGGGACTCCAAACCTCGGTCAGAAGGGGAACCGGTCCCGTTTACTCTGCGCCAAGCACTGCTGTGCCTAGGTGCTGTCACAGCCACTGTGCTGGGCTCTGGTGTCCTGCTGGGAGGACCTGTGCGGGTCCTCCGAACCTGTTTACTCTGCTCCGAGAGCTGTCGCGCTGGTGCCGGCGGAACCGCTGCGCCGGCCACGAGAGTCGCACTGGCAACCCGTGTGTTTCCTCCACTGGGGGATCTTCTGCTCCGTGAGCGACCAGAATTTGTCTGAAAGTGTGGCGTCCTCTAGTTCTCCGCACCTTCCCTGAGAGCTGCAATCTCGGGATGTTAGCGATCGGCCATCTTGGATCGTTCTCCTTTGCTTTTCTTATTGCTCACTCCCTAGTCTTTTGTTTCCTCCTATTTTTATTCTTTTTTATTTTTTAATTTGAGATGGAGTCTTGCTCAGTGGCTCAGGCTGGAGTGCAGTGGTGCAATCTCAGTTCACTGCAACCTCCGCCTCCTGGGCTCAAGTGATTCTTGTGCCTCAGCCTTCCAAGCAGCTGGGATTACAGGTGTGCACCACCACACCCGGCTAATTATTGTATTTTTGGTAGAGATGGGGTTTCACTATTTTGGCTAGGCTGGTCTTGAACTCCCGACCTCAGGTAATCCTCCCCACCTCGGCCTCCCAAAGTGCTGGGATTGCCAGCGTGAGCCACGCCTCTTCCTATTTCTTTATGCATCTTTTTCTCCTCACCTTCTGCTTCCAGTTAACTGTCAAGTGCCTCCTTGTCTTTTAATATTTGGCTTGTGTCAGCTTTTCCTGAATCTTCCAGGTAGGGATGATCTCTTTCTCTCATGAGTACTGTACTCCTACTGCCTCCTAAAAAGTTCTGTCATGTCACCCAGACCGTCAATAAATATCTCTCACACTAGACTGGGAATTCCATAGGACAGGGATGCTGTCATTAATATGTGTGTCTCCAATCCTAAGCCCAGGCCAGGGGTTGGCACAAAGTAATCACCCAATAACCATTTGTGGGATACACAGGATGTTTTTCCTACTTGTCTGAAATTTTGCCTTTTACTATACACCATCTCATGGGAAAGGTGCATCAAGAGGAGCCACAATTCATAAGGCACCAGTGTTAAATTGTCACCAAGGATTTAAACAAGAAAAGATTCAGGAGAAGTCCAGGTTTGGGTTTAAGAATACTTTGATGTTTGAGATTTGTTTTAGTTGCATAGATTAAGGAAATAGATAGGCTTGTTCCAGTCAACAACAATTTCTATGTGCTAAACACCCGATAAAGGGAGTAGAGCAGAATAAATAATCCTCAGTCCTTGTCCTGCAGGAATTCACTGTCTCATAATCAGCTGGGGACACACACACACACACACACACACACCTCAAGAGAGTTGCAAAGTGCCAAAGGGCTCAGAAGCAGAGAAGTTTCCATCAGGAGGTTCCAATTGTGAGGACCTAGGACTTCCTTCAGGAGAATAGAATTTAAGCAGAGATTTGAGGAATATTTAAGACTTTTGTAGGTGGAACTATGGGAAAGGTATCCCTGGCAGAAAACAAACACAGCCCAAGGAGAGGTTCAGAGGAGGGGGAATGCCAGGTGTGCCCAGTGAGGGTAGAGCCCCTGTCACTAGAGCACTGGGTATCAGCAGAGGGTGTGATAGGAAGTCACTTTGGACAGGCAAAGGCAACTAAGGAGGCTGGGGATTTAAGATTTGATGACATCAACAATGGGAAGCTTTTTGGAGATTTTAGAGGCGGTTCTGGTTCACGTTTATTTGCTCAAATTAAAAGAGTTTTTGTTTTTAAGAAGAAATTTAGTAAAACCCAAAATAATGACAAACAACAAAAAATCACTCAGCTCTGTGAGATTCACTATTCAGCTGCTAATGAAATATTTGTATTTAAATCTGAGAATGCTTACCGGGAGAGAAAGAAATGTGTTGAAAAAGTCGGCAAAGATTTCATCCTCCAGCAGAATTATAAGATTTGTAGACCTGATTATCTCTATATGGAGAGAGAGAAATAAAAAAATTAAAAAAAAAAGATGAACCAGAATTGCATTCAGGTTGAGAAAATGATCAAATGGATCATTTCACATGGCCAAATCTCAGCATGAGGACAGCCTTTAGGGCCATCCAATTCAATCCCTCCCCTTCTCCAGGACTCTCTTTTTCAATATCATTCTGCTTAAAGACTCCCAGCTGTGGGGAGCTCACTGATGCACAGGGATGCCCATTCCATTTATGAAGAAGATGAAATGGTTAGAAAAATTTCTTTTTTCCTACTGTGACTGAGTTCTTTTACCTTGTTTCTGTAAAAATTATGCCCTCTGAAGCTTGAAAGAATCTACTTAAGTCCCCTTAAAAGGGACGGTCCTTTCAGTATTTATAAAGACATCACAGACGTCTGCTCACCTCCAACCCTGCTGGCTAGTCACTAAGCAATTCTTCAACCCATTACTCATACGGCCTTCTCTTCATCTGGTTCTCTCATTGGCTGGAGTGCTGCCCATAATTGAAACACTGCAGATGCTTCCCAGAGCAGAACATAAGAGAACTCTTGCCTAGGTTGCTTCTGATGCTAGTGCAATGGGGCCTGAAGTGGGGTTAGCTTTGGGGCCTCTCACATCACACTATTAACTCCATTATGCTTTTACTTATATAGTCACTTTTCAGAAACCCAGGGGCAGGAATTTACATTTATTTCAGTCAAATTTCTACTTGGTACGTTTGGTCCAACGTTAAAGCCTGTCAAGAGCTTTCTTGAATATTAATTTGATCATACAACGTATTTATTAATTCTACTGTCTATGCTCCTTAGAGCAGAAAGTTCAGCTAGAGAATAATAAACTAATCTTTTTATCAATGGCCCAACATCACTTCATCATACCCAAAGTTCATAATAAAAGACTGAAAAATGGGTGCAAATATTATGTCCTAAGCTCATGTTTCAGTCGAATCTGATGAGGATAGTGCCACACATACTCACAAACAGGTAGTTATGATAACATAAGAAACCTAAACAATCATTTTTCCTGATGACACTGGGTGATTATTGGCTTCATATGATAGAATTAGAAACTCTTGGCCTGGTATGGTGGCTCACGCCTGTAATCCCAGCACTTTGGGAGGCTGAGGAGGGTGGATCACAAGGTCGGGAGTTTGAGACCAGCCTGGACAACATGGTGAAACTCCGTTTCCACTAAAGATACAGAAAATTGGCCAGGCATGGTGATGTGTGCCTGTAATCCCAATTACTCTGGAGGCTGAGGCCGGAGAAGTGCTTGCACCCAGGAGGCAGAGGTTGCAGTGGGCCAAGATCACGCCACTGCACTCCAGCCTGGGCGACAGAGTGAGACTCCATCTCAAAAAAGAAAAAGAAAAGAAACCCAGACAATCAAACATTGCTGTGAGTGACAGAGCTGGCATCAGCACTTGCTCTCTGTTCGCAGACATCTTTTTTCTTGCTGTTATGTGTTATGTGTGTTTTATCTGTACCCCTCCCAAGCCCTCTGCTCTTCTTTTTTCTAAGCAGTCCTTGATTTATTTAATCTATTCCACATGGATCATTTCAAAATCTGTGTTTTCAGTCCAGACTTCTGTCCATGGCTGGTTTGTTTTTGTTTGTTTGTTTGAGACAGAGTCTCGCCCTGTCTCCCAGGCTGGAGTGCAGTGGTATGATCTCAGCTCACTGCAGCCTCCACCTTCTGGGTTCAAGTGATTCTCCTGCCTCAGCCTCCCAAGTAGCTAGAATTACAGGTGTCTGCCACCATGCCTGGCTAATATTTTGTATCTTTAGTAGAGATGGGTTTCACCATGTCAGCCAGGCTGGTCTCAAACTCTTGACCTTGTGATCTGCCTGCCTCAGCCTCCCAAAGTGCTGGGATTACAGGCGTGAGCCACAGCACCTAGCTCTGGTTTTAAATATACATGAGCTATGGGACAGTTCTACACGCACATCCATCAAGCACTTTCATCTCAACATGTGCAATGTGTCCAGGCCTCCCAGCCTGCAACTTTTCCTACATTCCTGGTCCCAGTTACTGGAATAATCATTTATTAAAATATCTAATCCAGAAAGCTGAGACTCTTCTCTATGTCTCTGTCTCTGCCCCTGTCTCTCACTCTCACTCTTGCTCTTGCTTTCTTGTTCTCTCTCTTTCCCCTCCACGCCCCCTACATGCAATGGGGGACCATGCTATATGGTTTCTCTTTGTACCTATCTCTTGAATCTGTCTTCTCCTCTCCATCCATGAAGTTACTGTTCCATTACAGCCCTCTACACTCTCACCTAGACTACTGCATCAGCTTCTTAAATCATCTCCCTAGCTTCTACCTCTTGCCCTTCCAAGCACCCTCCACATACTGCCACCATTATCTGTTGATATTATTATTGTTAAAGTCTTTTGAAATCTCCTCTATGTCTTAGAAGGTAAAGCCCAAACTCCTTAGTATAGTATCTGAGGCTTTACCCCACTTGGCTTTTGATCTTCCTCCCAGCCTCATCTCCTGCCTCTCTGCACACTCTGCCTCCTGTTTGCAAGCGAAGCGAGGCATTACTGAGAGTACCTGCAGCTGCTAGGTACTCTCACTTCAAACCTCCATGCCTTTGTGTCCATATTACATTGCTTAAAATGTTTTCTCAAGCATAGTCAGCTTCACAGATTAATAGTCATCCTTTAAGAACTGGGTTACGTATAATCGTGGTGAACCAAGAATGGTAGAATCTACCGCAATGGCAGAATTCATCACGGTCTCCCTACACCATCGTGTACATCCTCCATCGTTACACTTAGCAAGTTTTATTGTTTTTATCCACTGAAATATCTGTCTTTCTCATCAGACTGAGCTTGTGAGAGGAGGGACTTCGTTTTTGACCTTTCTTCCTCTAGACTCTAAAATTGTTTTTACAGTGTCTAAATTCTGTAAATGTAGAATAAATTGTTCTTTCAAAAGATAATCTTCAATCTTTTTTTTTTTTTGCCAAAGTATCACTCTGTCACCCAGGCTGGAGTGCAGTGACATGATCTCGGCTCACTGCAACATCTGACTCCCAGATTCAAGCAATTCTTGTACAGGGATTACAGGCATGCACCACCACACCTGGCTAATTTCTGTATTTTCAGTAGAGACTGGGTTTCACCATATTGGCCAGGCTGGTCTCAAACTTCTGACCTCAGATGATCCACCTGCCTCAGTCTCCCAAATTGCCGGGATTACAGGGGTGAGTCAGTGCTCCCAGCTGATGATCTTCAATCTTTTGGACTTTTGTTTATCAGTCATAGAGTCTAACAAGGACTTGTTGAATGAATACATTACTGAGCCCATCTGAAAACAGAAAAGTGGGGTTTGACAGAAATTCCCTAGTGATTGTTTTTCACAGCTACACACACTGCTGGTGTCAAGGGGCTTGCCTATTCTAGGGCTTGCCATTGACAGGACAGTCTTAAGGAGATATAAAAACGAGGCTCTGAACGTCCTTCCCTTCCTCGTCCTCCCATTTCTCCATTCTTGTTTTTCCTTCTTACCTGTTCTGCCTTCAAACTTCCTAATAATTTGAGAAGGCTTTTAGCACCAGTTTCACGTCGTAATAATATTGACTTGGCAACAAATGAAATCACTGCATAATCTCAAACCCCATACCAGTCTTCTCTCTGGAGAAGAGATGGCCCAATCCACAGTTTACTTTCTCCCTCTTGCCTTAGTTGTCTTATGAATAAGGCCCTGTCCTATCCTCAAAGATCTGGTGGCAAAAGATAGGAGGAAGGGGAAGAAGAAGGAGAAGGAAAACAAAAGCATGAATAACACAAAAGTCACATATGGTGCCCTTGAGTTGCTCAGATCTATTAATAATTGGGAAGATGAACATTTGCCTTATTTAAGGGACTCAAGGCCTTGGAGACATCCCTCACAGAGACTCACCAGCACTGTTCATGTTGCTCTTTCTGACACAGTGATTTGTTAGGGGCAGAATTATCTCCAAGTCAACAGAACTTGATCCCTTGTGAACACATAATGACACCTTCTCTAAGGGGTTCCAGATTCTGTCAGGCAGTGACCTCCTTACCTCTGGTGTAGACCTCAATCTGAAGATAATAAGTTTTTATCTCACCTAATCTGCTGAATCCCCTTGGACACACAAGACTCCTCCTCTACTTAAGCCTTTAGTTCATAGTATTTCATTTGACAAGTTCTTTATAATTGTGCCCAAGATCTCTTGTCTCCTCCGTCCTCTCCCATGCTAGGGTGACTTTTGCGTTGATAAACTCAGCTCCTACGAGTCTTGTAAGTGATTACATTTGATGTGATTTTAATAAGCAATATCACCCGGATATTCAGCCCATTTAAAATATCAACCTCCATGGCTTGAGCCCAGGAGTTCAAGGCTACTGTGAGCTATGACCACACCACTGAACTTCAGCTTGGGCAGCAGAGTGAAACCCCATCTTTAATAAATTAAAATTAAAACACTGGCCTCCAAGAGGCTTGAATTCCCTTCCTCTGAAGGCTCTTCAGACACTTGGTTTTCTCATTAAACAACTTTTTGTTTTTCCTGCTCTTCCCTAATAGGAAGTAAATGTTAAGATGAAAGACCAACAGCCCTATACCCCTTAAAAATTTAGCCAAGAATTACTGAGAATAGAATTCTTCAGTATCACACCCAGAGAAGGATTAAAGAATTTAAAAGTCTTGGGATTGTAGGGAAGTTTGTATAATGTCTAAAAGACCTTCCCATGGGGGTGGGGGGAAAACTGGAAACTGGAAGGATTATTGCTAATAATGAATTGTCAACAAATCACTTATATTTGAAAAAGTGCATACTTTCTTTAGCACATATAAAGACCAAATACTGCATTTTAAAGTGATTTTAGTGAGCAATTCTTTCTTTACATCTTGATGTTTTATGTATCGCGAGATGAGTTTGTAGCTTACCCTACTTTTTCAATCCATTATCAATTACCTTATTCATCAGTTTAACATACACACATCTTAAGAGAGTTCAGG